GGGGGGGGGGGGGGGAGGGGAGGCGGGAGGAAAGGGCACGGAGATATGACAACTCGAATCACACCCAATCCCCGTTGTGGTTTCTGTTTGTTTGACATCCATTCAATAGTGCCCCTTGTGTGCATGGGTTCTCGAGGAAATGCCAACAACTCGATTCACAATCCTCAACCATGTTTTGTCGTAGTAGTACGTTTGGGATGACCGGGCGAAATTGTAGTCGCTAAGACCGAGGCTTGTGGTCCCCTTGTTCCACGACGAACAAAGCTCCGCCCATTCCGTTGGTTGCACAATGTCATATATCACACCCCCTGGACCGACTTTCGAAGCTTGATTTATCCGCTGGGAAAGCAGCGACCGTGGCGAAAACGACGGAGTTGGCATCGTTCCGCCCAGAGCTTTCCCAACACGTATCGTTTGCGTTCGGCATCCTCTTGGTCGTGGAGTAGTCGAGCTTTGCAACTAGAAAATAGGTCCAGGGGGGGTGGTATCTTACGCAACCCACGGCACATAGGGACCGCTGGGTTGGCCTCCGAACGGTCCCCCTCATGTGTGTTGATGTTTTGGGAAGAAACCTCTAAGGGACGAAAACGTTGCCTCAGTTGTTTCCGCTGGGCACCGTCGGCGGTCACCCGGGAGGGGCAGGTCGAGGTCGCCCTTTTGTGGAAAAAATGGGTCGCTCAAGCCGACAGATCGACAAAAAAAGGGCATGTACAGTCGTGGTCCCGGTTTAGCGGTTCCCTGTTTGGCGGGATGCCCTGAATAGCCGTCCCAAATGCTCGTGGCACGGCTGCACCTCGGTAGTCAAACTACCACCAATACATCTTCCAATCCTGTTCAGCGGCGAAGCCCTCAATAGCGCTAAACCGCCACCACCGGGATATTCGAATCTCACATTTTCATCCCGAAATGTATAACCTGGTACGTAGATACCACAATAGAAACAACAACCTCATGCATGGAAAGAGATAGATTTGTTACTGTGTTGAGTCACAGAGAAAACCGGGAAACGGACTTGCCGTTGACGGCGATGGTGGCGGTCACGAGGAAGGGGAAGACGACGATAGCTCTCTGGTGGGAGTCGGGCGACCGGAGAACGAATGTCCTCATGAACAGGAACAGCGCTACCGCGATCACCGCGGAGAGGACCGGGGATAGAACCCACGAGGCCACGATGGCGGAGATTCCCTGGTGGTGGGGGGGGAACACAGTCGCGAGGGAAGGGGTGGAAAGGGAAGACGGAGAGGGAGAGTAGGAGGGAAAGGGAGGCAGGGAGAGAAAGAAGACGGCTGAACGCGTGTGTATGTATTTCAACAAGATTCGTTCGTGTTTTCGACGTCAACAAGTGCTTTACCCTCAATTTTTGGCATGCTGCCTTTCGGGTGTACTGCCAGCCGGGGGAGGTATCAGCGGGTGACTACTCGATCTCACGGTCTTGACACCGAGGTCTAATGGTGTGATATCCGGGTCAACGGTTTTCAGCAAGGGTCAGCGGGCTGCAACGACGAACGAATTAACCCTCAACGAATGGCCTGGCCAATCACCCAATAATGGCCTGGCCAATCATCCGATGGCCTGGCCAATCAAACTACGCTATTCTGTCGCAACGACGCGAGTGAGTGAGTGGCCGATACGGTACGCCGACGTCACGAACCCTAGGGTCTGGGCTTAGCGACATGCCCTGTTCAGCGACTCACGAGGCACCGCTGCACCCGGGTAGTTGTTAAGTTCGGTTATGCGACTTGCCCTGAATGGCGGCCACATTCCTTCGTGACACTACTACTATAGGGGTCGCTAAACCGGGCCCCCCACTGTGTCTCCGTACGTGCACCCTCAACCCATGCCCTATGACCAATAACCCAATATGGCTTAGGCAATCAGATCTGCACTACAGTAGCGGCTACGGTTTAAGAGAGGGGTGCGACAAAACCGTACTTTTCTCTTAAACCGGGCTTTCTCTAATACCGTGTTGGCTACGGTTTAAGAGAATATTTTCGTGAGCCCTGAACATGTTTGAAGAGATTTTTCTCTTAAACCGTAATAACTTTTTGAAGGTCATGCAAGATGGCCGCTCTCGTTTCAACCAGGTAACAAAGTTTGTGGGCGGCATATCACTCATGTTACATACGTCGTCAGCTTGTGCTAGCTCCACACATGCTCAATCTGTGTCTTGGCGAGCAGTGAATCCACCGAAAGTACCGGGTACACTCCTGATGATACCTGTGTAAATTTATCACGGTGTCGTGTGATACAATTTTCTGTGTACGTTATTCATGGGTGATTTCTGCAGTTTGGTGGGCAGTTGGTGGGCCTGATACGTGATCGGGAACCGCTGTGCAGTGGCTGCCTGCTGCGCAGGACATGGTGTCTACGCAAGCTGTGCATGTATGTGAGAGCTTCGTTGCTCCTTTTTAGAGGTTCGATTGAAGAAAGAATGTTGGAAAGGTGACAAATTACCTCTTAAACCTATCGATTTTGGTCGTGACAAGTACTTTCTCTTCAACCTTTTCTCTTGAAACCGCATTACTGTCGCAATGACGGGAGGGAGTGGAGCACACGGGGTGCCAATGCCGTCAGGTCATCTGGTCTACCTGTTACGTATGTATTTGTTCAATCCGGACCGTAGAGGGGTGCGGTGGAATCTCACTTCAGAACGCCGAAGAGCACACATCCAACAACAACGCAAGCGCTGATCGGCCATAGAGACATCACCAGACACGAAAGGGTCCCGATCCAATAGGATAGACACGTTGTTAAATGGAGGTGGCGGTGCATAGGTTAACCAGAAACCCGCGTGACTAATGTGGTGATCGTCCCCGATCAGAAGTTGCATGCAACAAATTGAGTTATCACCTTGAGGTAGGGGAAGAGGTCGGCCTCCTCGTACCAGACCACGCAGTCGGCGCCGCGATAGGTCATGGCCATCCCGACGATGCCTCCGATGGTGGAGTGGGTGGTGGACACGGGCAGCTCGAAGTAGGAGGCCAGCAAGAGCCAGATCCCGGTCGTGTACACGACGCACATGTTGCCGTACATCAGGATCCCGGGGTTGTCGGTGAAGCACTCGATCTGTTGTGGTATTTATTTATGTTCAAGTTCCAGTGCGGTAACGTCGAACGAGACAAGACCAACAAGGGGCACGGAAGCGCAGCGAGGAGGGAGGTTAATAATGTGCTATGTGTGGTGCGTGTGACATGATGATAGCATCGACCGCTGTTAACCGCTCACCAATAAATAAATGTCACCAGTGCAGCGGGCCTAGTCAAGATCCCTGCAAGCGGGGGGCAAAGTTCGAAAATGAGCGAAGCGCTGAATGCGAATTAATGAAAACCGTGTGCGTGTGTGAGGGTACAGTAGGATGCGTTTACAGCTTCGTGGGAGAAAGACCTGCGATTGAGTCGGGTATGACAACTAAATTATCTCGCGCAAACCAGTAAACGGCAAACGTGCTGTGAGCGCTGATTTGAAGTACGAAGACGAAAAAAAGAAAAAAAAAATCAAGGGGAACAGCACCTTTGCCTGCATATGGATCGACTTCTGTTTGATAAATAAATTCCCCTTGCTCAGGTTTCTGACTATTTGCCACATTGATAGATCGGCATGAATTTGGCTGGAATTCAGGTGTTGTCGATCGATCGATGCGATTGCCCCGCGGGACTGCTTGCTGTCAAGCTCGCTTTTAAGCTGCGCAAATATTTGATTGCAGTCAACTACTGTTTTGAAAAGCTGCGCAAACATTTGGTTCCTGTCGATTGCTGTCTTGAAAAAAAGCGGCGCAAATATTTGGTTCGGAGCAACTACTCCCGGAGGCAACTAACTCTCTGTCAACTATTCATATTTTGCGCGCCGAAATATGCGTGCGACAGCTTTAACCTAACCACTTCGGTGGAAAGCGGATTTCTGTTCGATACGGTGTCGTCAGGGGTACCAGGGAAGACGGGGCCGAGTTTTGTTTGATTTCGGGTGGATGAGGTTGGGGTTTTGCTCGTTTTTCTCCATCTAAGGTTCGTGCCTAGAGTTCAGCTGTAGTGTTTCGACCAAAGTTTTGTTGACTTAGAGGCAAACATTCCTAGATATTGGGCATCGAGTTACATTGGCTTGGCATGACGGCCTTTACCATCGACTTTTGATGTATGTCTGCATTTATCTGCAATAATTGTCGGAGGGCAAACAAAATAATAATAATTCATATTTGTCCTGACAACTAATTTGAACAATTTGTGCTTGAAAGTGAGGGGGCGGGGGATCGGAGGGAGCCCAGCCTGATGTCATTGTAAGGAAGATTGAGATTGGTTCCGGAAACAAACGTACGTGCAACTTCGAATCAATAGTGCGTGCATGTATCTGAGCCACCGTCATGGAGACGGGAATCAAAAAGCAAGATGAAGTCAATCGAAGCGACAAAAAAAACAACGAGTTTTGCCCCGACTATACATTTATATTACATCACGTTTATCATCATCGTTTACGCAAGTTGAAGCCACTGATAAGGAGGACCCGATTCGCAGGGTATCCGTCGATTGACTTTTTACCTGAATCGGTACACCTTCGCATGTACATGGCGTCAGCTGGATACTGGTTCGAATCTCCTTGGGTGCACACTTTTTCTCCTGACTGACTTGGATATTTTCCCATGGACACAATATGTGTCAGTCCTGAGAACACCCCTTGGAGTCGATCCTACAAAAACCCTTGTGACACTTCCATCGAATTACCCATCCTGGCCACAAGAGGTTCCCAGTTGAGGGTAAATTCTGGGGGGGGAGAGTGTCAAGGAGGACCCGAAACGCAGGGTATCCGTCGATTGATTTTTACCAGAATCGGTACACCTTCGCACCACCCAGAACGAAGAAGAATAAATTGCAATAGACCAACCGACCACCATCATCCCGGTAATCCTCTCGTGACCAGAGACCACGGTCGTCTCGTGACCACCAAAGTATCGGATCATCTTTCCAGAAATAATGTTCAGCAAATATGTTATTATATAAATAATAGACACAAATAATAACATAATATATAGTCAATGACTATATATATGCACAACGACGGTCAGCCGGTTAGCGCGGTCGATGCTACTAATAAACACGCACACACACGTTCTCAAAGGGTGACATGTACAGGGTGATGTTAATGCAGTCCTTGAGATAGGAAGTTCGACGTGACGTCATATGCATTTTTTTTTGTTCGGAAGGGAATGTTCAGATTCGTTCGAAAAAAAAACCTGCAAAGTGCACCACCATTACACCCGAAACGAAATACCGAAGATTCTACCGAAATATTGTTTATTTACTGTAGATAGTGTACCCAGTTGAGGGAGGGGTGTTGCCCCCATATATAATATTTTCGAGGCAATTTTCGCTCATCACTCACTCCGCCCCATGCATCGACCGGCATTCCCGTGTAGTATGATTTGCTCTTCTTCACCCCAACTTCGAGCAAGACGTTCGAGAGAGAGACGAGGAGATTTCCGTATTCCTTTGTAATGATGCACGTTTCCGGAATCAATCTCAATCTTCCTTCCAATGCCATCAGCCTGGGCTCTCTCCGATCCCCCGACCCCTGACTTTCAAGCACAAAATGCTCAACATAGTTTTCAGGACAAATATGAATAGTTGACAAGAGAGTAGTTGCCTCCAGGAGTAGTTGCTCCGAACCAAATATTGTTGGGCAGCTTTTCAAAACAGTATTGACTGCAATCAAATATTTGCGCAGCTTTTCAAGACAGCATTTGCTCGGAACCAAATAGTTGCGCAGCTTTTCAAGACAACATTTGACAGGAGCCAAATATTTGCGCAGCTTTTCAAGACAGCAGTTGACTGGAACCAAATACCTGCGCAGCTTTTTATCAATTTGATCGCAGTCGACTACTGTTTGAAAAGCTGCGCAAATATTTGGTTCCTCCTGTCAATTGTTGTCTTGAAAAGCTGCGCAACTATTTGGTTACGAGCAACTGCTGTCTTGAAAAGCTGCGCAAATATTTGTGTACAGGCAAATACCCGTAATAGTTGATTACACACTCAAATAATAGCTGTATTTACATTTGATATTTGTACAGGGCGTCATATGTAATTTCGTTTTGTGTGTATTGTAATGGTGGTGCACTTTGCAGGGGTTTTACGAACGAATCTGAACATTCCCTTCTGAACAAAATCAAATGCATGATATGACGTCACGTCGAACTTCCTATCCATCTCAAGGATTGCAGTAACATCACCCTGTACATGTCACCCAGTGAGAACGTGCGTGTAGGTGTTCATTATTAGCATCGACCGCGCTAACCAGCTGACCGTCGGTGTGCATATTAATAGTCTATAGTCACAGATTCTGTTATTATGTGTGTCTATGTATTTATAGCGTGGACCGCGCCGCCCGGCTGACCAACGAAAAGATATCATCAGTCTCAGTAGGGTTCGCTATGATGTATGTGTGTCCGTCCCATCTATTCTGTCGCCGGTTTACAGATTATACCTGACGTATCAGCCGGGGCCAAGCCAGGTACACAGCAGGAGCAGTAAAGTAGTAGAAGGGGAAAGGGCTGTTATTTGTTCAAAATTTATCGCAGCGCCTGAGGTGATTGCCTTAGTTTTTATCGCGAGCAGAGCGTTCACCCATCTATCCCTCCCTGCCTTTGTTCCCTCGACAACCAACCGTGAGGCCGAATGTGTTTACTCACGACCTCGATTGTGCTTCCAACGAACACATGGGTTGCTGGAAATGAATCCTGGGAACAAAACCAACCCTCCGGAGAGAGAATCGAATCTCCCGCCGTGTGGTATACACATTGATTAGAACTAAATAGTTGACAACTATTTGGACCCCAGACAAGGGACAAAGTATATCGATAGAAAGATTATGTACGATAGATATTATGTTGACCTACCTGCGCGCATCGGGCACGCCACCGGTAGGTACTACTACAGTAGGAGCAACGTGTCCACGCTTGCGTCCGTCCGCGCTCGCTATTATGTCTAACGCACACAACGTAACGGCGGGCGGCGACTCCAAAATCTCTTCAACCTATCAAATGAAACCAATCCATCGGGCGTCAGGCCGTTGCTCGTACAACATGTTCTGCCGAGTCCTTCGGATTCCGATTTGGTACGCGGGGGTTCATCTGTGGGTTCAGAGCTAGCTGTCGTCGTGCTCGCCCCTGTTTGACTGGCTAGCCTGGGTTGGGTCGTCTTCATACAATGGACAATCTCGGGGAATCACTCTCGCTCGCGAAGGCAAACGGACGGTGCGCGTGCCAGCTATTCACGGGACCCCATGGGCACAGCTTGATTGAGTCCTCCAGTCAGGGCGTGTGCATGTTCCAACATTCAAAAAGGAAGATTCACTGCTGTGCACATGCACAGACTGCATTCTTCAACAACGGTCCACAGCATCTCACACGGCTGACGGCTTGATGAACAGGTACTATTATACGTGTGCCACGCTCGTCGTCATTATTTAGAGGCCCTCACGCTCTGAGTTGATGAGAGCAAACAGCTGAGTGCCGGCCGCCATCCCTCGCTTCACCTACGGAGAGGGACAAGAAGAAGAAACCAAAAATCAAACCGGCACTCACGTCCGCGATGCCGGAGCGGATGGTCTTAGTCACGTGCGAGCCCAGGAACACAGCGCCGAGGAACTCGAAGATGCCGGCCAGGATGACGGCCTGCTTGATGGTCAGGGCCTTGGCGCCCACGGAGGTGGCGAACGCATTGGCGACATCGTTGGCCCCGATCCCGAATGCCGCGAAAAATGCGCCAAATGCGCCTACAATAAGGATCCAGAGGAACTGGTCAGTAGTCTCTGGCACAAGGATGCGCTCAGCGTAGAGGCCGCCGTCCATGGCTACAGCTGGGGATGGATTATTGATGTAGGTGGTCGGGAGGGATTGATCTCAAAGCCGGCTATATAGCTAGCTGTGCAGGGTTCGGAGAAGAGTGTGGTGCCGTGTGGTGTCGACGTGTCGACTGACTGGCCAGCAAGTTGCGTGACTGAAACGGGCAGGCGAACTTCAACATGCACCTACCTGTCCACGGGGAAAGAAATCGAAAGCAAACGAGTAGGCCTTTGCTCCATCAACCACTTTTTTTCTCTTGTTCTGCCTTTTGCTTTTTTCGGCCCTTTTTTTCCTTTTTCGGCCACCACAAATGGTGCAATTTTCTTCTCGGCCGTAGCCGTACATGTACGATTTTAACATACTATTGAGCCTCGCGCATACCTCTCCAGCAACCTATGCTTGTTTCTGTGTTCTTGGTAAATAACAGTCTAAAAAATACTGCGTCGCGTACTTTGTGTTGTGTCAACCGAGAACGTTAGCATGCAATCACTCGTCATCGAGAAAACGAGTACACTTCATACCACACGCCTCCGAAGCCTACTCTTTCCTCTTTCATCTCATCTATTCCTCGTCGCTCACGTCCATGTCTACCTCCCCC